TGTGTGTTTATATCTTTGAATGCCTTCATGCCAACCAGATTCACCAAATGGGAAGAGCAAAGGATATTGTAAAGGATCATAACAACCATAATAATAATGAACCTTATGCGAATCACCAGAATGACCATATATAGTAATATCACGAACATGATTATTTGCATTTTCATCATCATCAACCCATACAGCAGCTACTTGAGACGCTGAAGGAGTATTGAAAACTCTTTGATCGAGTCCGTGGTGACATTTTATTTGTATTCGATGGTCGTGCAAATTCGTTATATTACTTAAAGACCTGAAAAATTTACTATATGGATTTCCTTTTAAGATTTCAATTAGAAGAGTTAAAGTAGGTTCTACTAAATTTTCAGAAATTTTTATACGATTTTGAATTTCATTGTTTGTATCATAAAAATATAATTGCATATAATGTGGCATATTATTTACACCGTATTCAACTAAATGTATTACTATATAGACAGGAACTTGAGACAATGTGTAAATACCTCGGTATGATTTAAAGAGTTCCTTGTCGTACTTTACACCAAATGAAGTGAATGCAAAGTGGTTATTATATCCGCGTGAAAGTTTTTTGAATTCCATACATGTAGGTTCTTTAGAAATAAATAAATCATACAATTCATTTGGTGAATCAGGCATGAAAAGTTTAACTTTTCCATCACAGCAACAAAAACCTTTTGTTTCTCTATGAAATTTTTTCGCACCACAATACTTACAATAGGTGCATGTTGGTAACACATATGCAGTAGTTGGTATGTTCAAAAGGTTAAAACTTCCACATAATTCATAATCAAAAATATTAGTCGATTCTTCATTCGAAGTAGAACCCTCAGAATAAGATTCATGCACATAAGCAACGCCAGAATTATTATTTTGAGATAACATAGGATCATTTATCCTTTTACGATGATCAACACTTACGGTTTGAACTCGATTCCTCCTATCTGCTTGTCTTCGATTTTGTTGTTGACGTATGAAAGCATTATATGATTTACTCGTGCCTTCGGAAATACTTTCAAGATTAATAAACTCAGGCTCCTCATTACCAGTTCCCAGAGAATTCATCAGGACAATAAATATGCTACCGATCTGAATAAAATAAAAAATATTTTAGTAGTCAAACAACTAACAAATAATACTAATACCAACTTTAGCATAACGTGATTTAAAAATGATGGGTGAAAGTCATAAAACTCTAGTATAATATTTATAAAATGCATTAATTTAAATTCTCAAATGTAGCTGTAGAAAGTAAAAGTTTCTGAAAGAAATAATCTTACATGTGTTAAAACATATATACAGCAAAAGTAAAGGTTGAAATATCGAAATTTGTGAAAAATGACTAAAAATATATTTCAAAAGGAAAGAAAAGTAGTATGCATAAAGAAAGTTAAACAAATAACAATTTATTACAAAAATTAATGAAGGTATAGTGTATTACTGTAGTCAATTATAACTATCGAAAAATACAATTGGACATTATATACAGAAGAACAATAAATACGAATTAGAGTCCACAATAATATAATAGGAACTTTAAGGAAAAAAATACAAAGATTAATTACAGATTAAACTCTACGAAATCTAGAAAAGAATAAAAAAAATATTATACCTGAAGATAGCACAATTCAATCGATGTTGAAAATTTTAATATGTTTACTTTGAGAATGGTTTTTTTGTAACTTAAAAAATTGGAAACAAATTTAATATTGACAAAATCATGAATGACTAAGAATACAGCAAATAAAGAAAATCATAATAAAAATAAAAAATCGAAGTGTATATGAAGTAAATTGAAGAAAGTCACATATTTTTTTTACCAAATTGAGAAGTGGCATCTCTCGAGGGGTTGCCCCCAGCTCCCCCGTCGCAGCCTCGTGGGGGTTTGGGGGCAACGCCCCCAACGGGGATCGACCTGCCCGGTCAGGTCGCGGGGGTCGAGGGAGCAGCGCCCCTCGTGGGGGTTTGGGAGCAATGCCCCAAGGAATTTAGATTTCATGTATGTATGAAATGAAATATTTTCTAATATTTTTGAATTAAATTTGTAATAAGCGAAATTATATTTATAGTTTTTGTAAAACGTAAATCAGTACAATTTTTAGCTAAAAAAAGAAGAGGGAAAAAAA